TATAGTAACTTTTTATTATAATCACACTTTTTATTTTTGGTCCCAAAGGGTGTGACTATAAAGGGGGACGACTGTATACATAAATTGAATCCATTTCTTTATTGTGATGTACAAGTCGCGTCACCGATCAAAATTTTATAATAAAACATATAAAAAATAAAAAATTTAAGGCTACAAAATATTTGCATTTTTCTTCTGAATTATATCATTCTATGGCTAATCAAATGTACTTTCAAAAAACAAACCAAAAGACGTCCTAGACTTAAGATGCACGAGCTACTTTAATTATAAAAGTTGAAAAAATTTTTATATACATTTTTTCTGTCTATTATTATAAAAAAAAAATTTACATCGTATTACTGTTCAAATGATTTACAATTTTTATCACATTTGAATGCTAATTAGTTATATTTTTTAAAAAAATGATTGCTATCTTGTAGAGACTTAATTTAAACTTTATAAAAAAATTTTTATATATATTTTACTATATAATTTCAATCGGGCGTTACTTTGTGACGCGACTGTACCTAATTGTTCTTTTTTTTCTATTGATACAGATATGATTAAAGTTATAGCGAATAGTTATACTTATAATTATATATTTTATATTAATTATAATAATAATAGATTTTAACGCTTTCACTGTCTCTCATTTTACAGGATGATATTTATAATCATTTTATTTGGTAGCGTAAAATATCACGTGATATATATAACCCTATTCAGCCAATCATAAGAGAAGAATACACAAGATTCTGTGGTTATATTTGCTGTCCCCAATGTAATACAAACCTTGATAGACATATTAATGATGCTCGCTTCGATATCTTACATGACTTGTTATTACCTAATTTAGACTTTGCTTAATATGGAGTTTTATTAGTAATGATAGGTTTTGATTTAAGAGTTAATCCTCCATCCTAAGCTGATCACTTGTTTAGCTTGAAGGAACGATTTCTAGTAATGAAACCATTCATGGATTTTGTTGTAAAATTTGCATCGTTGTACGTTGCCTGTGATATATATATTTTTTTATATTGTCTGAACGAGACCAGCAATTTCTACGCCGAGTCCAGAAAAACAGTTGTAGGTTAACCTATGATTCAGTCACATGCAAGAAATGTATTAAATTCATAAAAAGAAATTTTTTTTCGTATAATAAAGAAAATTAAGCGTTTTATTGATTAATCTTTCTACATAAAATTGGTTGCCTGACAACCAATTGGAATAAATAAGACTATTAAGGCCGGCTTTTAACGAAGGACGACCTTGGGCAAGTGTTAATATTTGAGAATGTTAATACTTTTTTCTAGGTGAATTTATTATACCAGTTAGTACTAATTGTATAATATTAACGAGTGTAGTTCAAGCAACAATTTTTAAATGAGAATCATACCAAAATATTAATTTTATTTGCTTCCTTTTTTTAACCGGTTTGATTTAGTGACCATTGTTTGATCAGATGTTTGCTTTTCTTTGTCTTGCCAGGAGTTGATGCGGGAGCTTGATTACTGTTAACTTCAACAACAAGCGCTTCACCTCTCTTTTTGGCATCTCTTATAGATTTATTGGTAACCACCCCGAAAAATTTTTTGTTTGCTATATGTCTGATGCATTGTAAAATCACATTTTTTTCCTCTACAAATTCTTTGTATAATAGCTAAAACGACATCAATTATAAGTATAAATTAACCACAAGCTGTAAAAATATAAATCTTTACAAGTATATAAAAAAAACTTACAAGATCTCGAAGATTTCTTTGCCTACATCTAGCATGATCGGGAGGGCGTTGGATTGGAGGACAAATCTGATTAAAGAAAAAAAAATTATTAAGTTATTATTAAAAATTATCATATTATCTATAATTTATATACCATCTTTCCTGCATGTTTGTTTGTGCAGTTTTTACCCCTTGGACAATGGCCTTGTCTGTATTTAATACATATTTGTCTGTATAATCTTCCATTTATTTGATCTTTTTTTGAACCCGTCGAACTGGAAACCATTTCAGAAAAGTTCCGTTTTTTATAATTTTGGTTTCCAGATTGTGTAGGTCGTAATAGTTGAACAGCTTTAGTCTGATAAGTGTTTAGAGGTACCGCAGCGGCTGCTGCTGCTGCTGCAATTAACAAATCGGTTATTCCACATGGACCGGCATCTTCATTATGATCACCGAACTTTGTATTACGGCCTCCAAACTCAAATCGTCTCTTCTTAATTGCTATGTCATCTTTTTTTCCATTTGCATAATATAAAAGCTGTTTCTTTTGAGCCTGGGACTTAAGGACTTTACCACGAGCCATCCTAGCAGCTTCTAATTTTTTCTAAAGGTATAAATATTAGTTACGATTAGTTTATGATCAAAGAATTATCGATTGAAACATAATGATTACTTTGCGTTCTATGTTGACATCTGTTGGGTAGTTTTTCTTTCGCTGCTCAATCCACTTTGCAATCGCTTCAGGAGTATCCAGATGGAAATCCATTACTGCTTTAAGGCTTTTTCAAGTATTAAAATAAAGGAAAATTAATTTTCTTATATGCATTAAATTGTATGATAAAGTTAATAATATATATATTTACGATTCATCAGACTTCATAGGATTACTTCCTAATTTGTGAACTTCGAATAAGTGCGTTTTTAAAATATTTGTCATTGCTGAAAATTCACAATGATCGCACTTTCTGTGTAAATTCATATGATATTTTAATTGAGCTTCGTGAGCGAAGCTCTTTACGCAAGGTTCACATCGCCATTTACTAAATTATAAAGAAAAAATAAAAAAAGAAATTTATATACGAAAGTTTAAAATACTTAATAAGAAGCAATTCATGTGTACCGTTGATAATTAGATTGATAATTATATTGACTAACAGTAACGTCTTGTGCGTTATAGTAACGACCTTGACTATGTGCATAACCGCGACCTCGTCCTCGACCTTTTCCTCTTCCGTTTACTTGTGAGCTTAGTTGAGGATTGGGTGGTGGAGGTGGTGGTAAGCTATAACTTGAGGGAAGTTGTTCTGAAGTTTTTATAAGCATTTTGTCGTATTATAACTTGAATAGAAAAATTAAAAAAAAATTTTTTTTGTATAGATCTGATTGGGAAATTATTTTATCGTACCCAGTACCATTAATGAAAATTTTCACATCACGTGCTGCCACGTGGGTTTACTAAGATAGAATCATTCATACTTGATAAAAAAATACAAAGATATTTATACAAGTGAATAATTAATAAAATGAACTAAATTAAATATCTACAAATATAATTGACATATTACTAGGAAATACGATCATAGAAATAAAGTTACCAGTTATACTGGAAATTAAGTTAACATTTTAGTTAGTGCTTAACATTAATAAAAACGATTTCACGTTTAAAAAAAAATCCATGAGACATCTCTCGGATCCCAGTTACGCCGGATATATAGTACCGTAAAGCGCGCTCTATAGTACCCCTCTGTGTATAATGCCCTCTGGAGCGGCTTAGAATGTAAAGTACCGGGTACTATACATCAGACTCGAGTAAAGTAACCGGGTACTATAAACCGATATTGATATACCGATACCGCGCGTCAATGTTAATAAATGTAATTTTTATTAATACAAAATATGATAAATATTTATCAATAAAAAATAGTTTTATTATTACTAATAACATGCAAGTTACTTTTTTAAACATTTACATTATCTAAATTAATGCTAATTAATTCCAAGTATTTTCATAACCAGCAACAAAATCATCATATATGG